ATCGGAACGCAAAAAAGCAATGCTAGAAGCACCAGTTTAAAGGTCTTATACTTCTGTCCCCTAGAAATAAACCTCCCTGACCCCAGTATTTGCTCTGTGGGGCAGGAAGTTTATGACTATAGGGGGAGATGATCGCTGCTATTCATTCTTGGAGCTTCTACATGACATGCTCACAACACATGAATGTGGCGCCGACTCACGCCAAGGGCTCCCTCTTTCGCGTCAGCTAGCTTCACCAGGAACCTACTCTAGGCCAGAGGAGAATGTGCTTACTGGAAGCAACCCTTGACCCTCTAAACCGAAAGCAACAAAGCCCAGGACTTCACGGTTTAGGGGACCCTTAACCCCGAAACTCTGTCTTTCTTCTGGAAACTGCCATTTCTTCATCACCCAACCACCAGCGGAACCCAACCCTAAACCCTAAACCCCTAGAAAGCAAACTCGAACCTCATGCAGAAAGCAAAACACGAAGCCTCAACTGAGCCTTGGAAGCTACGTAGGTTTACTACCAAAGAAAGCCATCCTCGAAGCTAGTGAAGGGGCTGGGAGTTGTGAGGTTTACACTGACTGCACTCTGTTTTGCGTCAAACTACTGCACCTGAAGAAGGAAGAGTTGCAAACCTTGGCAACTAATGGTATTGAAGCTTCAGGGTGTTACGCCCAACGTCAAAAACGGATTGCCTGGGTTAAGTCTCCAATTGTCTGAACTAGTCTCAATCAGCCACTCTTTTCCACTTGGTTCTCCACCGTGGTAACTTACACCCTGAAGTGTAAAGCCTACATAAACTCTATGGCATTCCTATAATATAACCCTTGCATCTCCCTTGGAAGGGGATCCTCAACCCTATACCCTACATCCCTCTTTGAATGGTCCCTAAGCCCTAAGCCCTAAACTCTAAATCCTAAACCCTTAATCCTAAAGCCTAAATCCTAAACCCTTAACCCTATTCTAGGGGTCCACTCCCCCACTCCCCTTAACCCCTAATATATCCCCAATATCGCCCATTATAATAGTTTCCACTGTATTTTCCATTCTCCCCTTAACCCCTAAACCCTTAACCCCTAAACCCCTAAACCCTAAACCCTTAAACCCTAAACCCTAAACACTTAACCCTTAAACCCTAAACCCCTAAACCCCTAACCCCTAAACCCCTAAACCCTTAAACCCTTAAACCCTTAAACCCTAACCCCTAAACCGCTTAAACCCCTAACCCCTAAACCCCTACCTCCCCCCCTTTCCAAGGGAGCCTGCTCCTTGATCCATGGGATCACTTCGTCCAAGGCCTCCTCTAGTGGCGTGGTGCCTCAGAAGAATCCAAAAAAGCCCATGTAGTCTTATACATGTGTCTATACATATATGTCTATATATAAGGGTTTCAGGGTTTAGGGATAAATGTGTATGTATCTATATATATGTTCATATAATGTATGTATATACATAGAGGGTTTGGGGCTTAAGGTTTGGCTGGTTTCCCAAAATCAGTTATACCTGTTCAATTGTTGTTGTTTTTTTCTTTTTTTTTGTGGGGGGGGAGGGGTCCGCCTATTAAGGAGTAGATTATGCTGGGGGTCTCCCTATTTATGGAACCTACCATATATACTATATGTATAGATTTTAGGGTTGACGGCCTAGAATATTGGGGGCCCTTTAAAAGCGATATAGGGCCTCTACAGGAGGTATACAAGAATTATATAAGGGTTATATAGAGACACATAGGCCCTAGGCTTGCGGGTTTATAGGGTAACGAGATTTAGGATTTGGGCTTCCGGGTTGAGGGTGGATGCAGCGGCCTGAGGTTTAAGGGTCCATAGGGTAACGGGATTTAGGATTTGGGCTTCCGGTTGAGGGTGGATGGGGTTGGACACTGCAGAAGTCAAAAAATGGTTCCCAAAAATGATGGTCCTGTTTTTGAAGTACCTATAATAACGATTATGATCTATTGGGGTCTCCTTTTTGGACCGCGTATTGTTGGAAACCCGCCATTCAAGGGGAGTGGACTTGGGGATTTCAGGCTCTTACGTGTTGAAGGGCGTAGAGGCTATGAGCCTGATGCTCGCTGGAATCGAGGTTCCCCAGTAACCACGTAAAAATAAAGGTACCCTTTTTCCTACTGTTCAGCTGTAGTAAGGAGACCCCAAAATAAAAAGGGAAAAAGGGTACTACTAGGGTACCTAGGAATTGCTTCCCCCTGAAAGGTCAAAAGCAAGCACCATACTAAGTAGATAGAATACCGGGCTTATATAGGGATAATGGGAAAGAAAATGGAAACTACTATTTAGGGCTTAGGGTTTAAAGTCCCCTTCAAGTAGATAGATTAAGGGGTATTTCTAGAACGAAACTATAGTCCCCCTTAAGTAGATAGAATATGGCTTTGGGTATATCATAATAAGATCCCCATACACCCTATATTCTATCTACTTAAGGGGAACTATACCCTAAACCCTAAACCCTAAGCCC